ATTCTGGCCTTTAGAATTTTATTTCTCTTTGTCCCCTATATGGTAATATTAGTAAAAAGCCTGTTTTTTTAATATATATATATATATAAAAAGTAATTGGAATAAGATAAACTAAGCTCTGATTGACTCTTTCTTCTAGATTATCCCAACGGTATTCGGCTCACATCAGCTGTTCCGGGAGCAGATATCAAAGTACTAATAAATTTCAATGCACCAAATCCTCAGGACAGGAAGAAGTTTACAGATGATTTGAGGGAGTCAATTGCAGAGGTTCAAGAAATGGAAAAGCACAGAATAGAGTGTAAGTACAAAGGTACATATAATAGAGCATTTTCAAGCTAATTGAAATAAGAAAATCTTGAATATGTGTATAACCTATTAGAACTCTTTAAAAATTCAAAATAATGCAGGTTTTTTCCATGGCTTTGATTCTAGAAAGAGGAAAAACCCAATGATACCTTAAGACCCAGCTGAGTTTATTGACTATTATTTACTGCAGTGTAACTGCAGTGGAAATTTAGCCTGGACAAACTGCAAATAGCAATAGACAGATGAGAGATGGATCTGTAATTTGTAGTATAAATTACAGTAAGAATTTTAGGGATAATTTACATCACTCTGAAATTCTCAGTGATGGCCCTTCAAATAAGTTTCACTGATTTTTTCTTTATTTCTATGTTGATATTCCTATATTCTCTCAATTAGGTAGCCATAGTACAAATTGATATATTTTGCTGGAAGTTACATGAGTATCTAAACATGGAACTTTATCTTCTGTTTTTCCAAAAGAGGAATAGTCTTTCATCCTCTATGTTGTAATATAAATCTGTTAGTAGAGGGGTGAAGTTCGTCTCTGGCATTTAACAGTGCCAAAATGAACTCTTACCTATTATTCACAGTAACGTGTGATCACATACAGAAATTGTGATGTTACCATGTCCGTCATTATAGTCAAGAAATATGAATTGCAAAATTATTCTCTTTGTTTCAGCTGAGCTAGAAAAACAGAAGGGTGTGGTGCGTCCAAGCATGTCTCAATGCTCCAGCCTGAAAAAGGATTCTGGCAATGGGACGCTGAACAGAGCTTGCCTGGATGACAGCTATGCTACTGGGGAGGGGCTGAAAAGAAGTGCACTGAGCAGCTCCCTTAGAGACCTGTCTGAAGCAGGTAAGCACTGCCCTTGTGTCCTTGCTCCGAGTAGTGCATGCAAAGATGCCTGAATGATGCATATTTAGGCCCAGCTCACAGTCGGCTTCCAGAACTAGTAATGCTGAAGCTTCAGACATATTAAATAGTTCCTCTTTCATAGTTCGTGTTTAATTTCTGTTTGTTTTTTACCCTTGTTCTATTAAGCAACCACTATTAAAGCATTTAAACTGTTGTAGATTGCTATATATACTTTTAAAGGAGAGTGAAGACAGAGGGAAAACTGTAAGTGTTTTATAAAAAAAAGATTGACTTGTGTTAGGAGTAACCCACTTAGTTTTCCTTTCTTGTTTTCTTCCCCTTTGCTTCTTCCCCTTCATACAATAGGCTTAGAAAGAAAAGAAAAGAAACTGGTCTCAGTGTAATGACTGCTTTCTGTGTATTTTGTGCTCAAGTGTACTTGTGGTACCACCTTGATGAATGAAATTGAGTGAAGCCCTACTAAATTCTGTGTAGAGCTATGTAATACAGATACTGTTCAGATACTGATGCTCTTTTATTGTTTTGTAACTCAAGTCACAGTTTCCAGTTCTTGCAAAAGAGGTTGTTGTGAAATACTATTGCCAATACAGTAAAAGAAGCCCTAATGGACAAGAATACCAATATCCCACAAAACCACTGATGTGTCTTAAGATTTATTAACTGACTAATACAGCTAAAGACTGGAAAGCAGTGGTGGTGTGATTTTTTTAGCCAAAGAAAAGCCAGGGGAAGTTTGGTATGTTTTTGTTTTATGGTTTGCCTTGGTAATACACAACTGGCATACTCATGTAATACAGGCTGCCATGGGTAGTGACCTTGTCTTTCAGTGTTAAACGTGATTCCTGGCATTTACAAGAAGTCATATCTGAACACCATGCCCACTAGTCAGAAAGTACTTCTGGGGATAGTAGCAACTATATATAAATATTTAATTATTTTTTTTGTTCATAGTCTGTGTTAAATACTCTGATTTGTTCTTTTAATTGCAGTGATGATTTACAGTGTAGTCATAATTTCAATACTTTGTATATCTTTGATAGTAGACATTACTTACTGATTTCTTTTTCTTAACTAAAGAAGAGATTTTAGCTATGCTGCAATAAATAAAATTGTTGTAAACTGAAATTATAGCCTGTGCTTTGTGGGTATATGAATGTGCATATAAATATGTAGAGAGTGAGCTGTTTCAATTATTTTATTCTCTGTTTAGGCTTTCATATTCATATGTCCATTTGCTTCATTAAAAAGACCTAGGACCTTGATCCAAAATCAGACTGATGTTGAATATTGGTGCTTGATTGGCTTCAGTGGATTTTAGATCAAGCCACTAGTCTTCACCACTGTTATATCTCGGATTTGAAGATACTTCCATCATTCTTTTTTGTTGTTTTGGTTTTATTTCATTAGAATGAGAACTACCATATTGTTGAATATGTGAGTTCAGTGGGTATCTGTACCCATAAATGTGATTTCTGATTAATTTTTTTCATCCCATTGGAATTTTTCATCCCTGTCTTTCAAACATTGCCATGTATTTAAATTCATGTTATGGGTTTTATGCAATAAACAAGTATTTGTAATCATGAAAACATTTCATGTTTCAACAGGGCATGCCTACAATTGTCATGCTTATTACTGAAAATAAGTTTTTTCCATAATAAAAAGTAAAAATCACTCACAGACTGGAGGGTTTATCAATGAGTTTGCTAAACCCAACTAAACTTAATTTTAACTTTAAATAGTTGAGAATTATGGAGAGTTTCTGTTTGGTCTTGTGCAGTGCAACTGACTTGAGAAATTACATACCTGTTACTTGCTTTGTTATTTGGTGTAGTGATTTTAATGAGATTATACATGTCTCTTCTGCCTGTTCTCAATGAATAGCTTGCATGTGAGGCTGAATTATTTTTTTTTACTATAGGAGAGATGATCCATAGAAAAACAAAGAAATCTCAGTTAGCAAGATACTGTGTCCCAGTGATCATACCATATTAAATTGCTTCTGTAAAAGAGTACTGAGTTAGGTTACTTCAATTCTTTTTGTGGATGAAACAGAGGATCAACAAGGAGGAGGAACAAGAGTAGTGAGACTGTGTCTGGATGTGTGTCCTTCTGCAGGAGAAGGCAATAATGAAAGTGGATTTGTAGAGAGTTCCTTTCTACATTTAAACAGAAATAAATCTAATAAACATGAGAAAATTGCCTGGTGGTATATTTATGCAGTAAGGCAGGTAATTGTCCAATGAACATTGCAAAAACAAATTGAAAATTTTAAATTATTTATTCAATGAACAGGAAATCTGATTCAACAGCATTTTGGTTGCATGGGTATATGACAAAACTATTTAAGAAAACAATCCATTACTCTCTACCAGATATCACAGTAGTAAATGGTGACTGTGGAAAGTGATTTTAAATTTCTCTGTTGGAAAAGAGTGACGATTCATAAGCTTCTTAGATCTAATGAATGTTGATAGCCTGAATGATTCTGACTCCTAAGCTGTAAACCGTAAGGAAAGGCAAGATTTCTCTGTCAGGAAACAACGTCAGGAATCATTTTCTCATGGTTGTTCTTCCATGCGTTTGCCATGATAGCTTAAATCATAATTGTAAAAAGGATGTGCATGAGGGTCTCTTGGTTTTAAAGATAGTATTGTTCATTGTGGATTGACAGTTCTTTCCATGGAATAAAAAGCAGAATGTGGCAAACAACTGTTCCAAGATGTGAATATGTCAAAAGTATTCAGTGTTTTATTTTTCTCAAAAGAAAAATATATCATTTTTATTACACATTCTTGAGCTATAGTCAAGGAAGAACTGAACTTACTTGTCACAGACTTTGAAATTCTTAATTTACACAGAAATATTAGAAGACAGACAAATTTTAATGCAGTTAAAGCTGAGTTTTATGGATTCTAATAGAATTTTGGACATTTCACCACTAACTCGATATATAGTTATGTGGTAAGCAGGTTTACAGAAAGATGGGAAAGATGTGAAGTCCCATCAGGGCCATTAGTACATGCGAAAAATTATTTGGTCACTAAAGCCAGAGCATGGAGGATTAGACTGGTTGCATTTCTGATTCTGTCTCTCTCACAGGTTTCTTGGCTCATTTTAGGCTAGTCAATCTGAATTCCAGTGACTTCGAGTTGCTGGAGGACCCAGTGCTTTCACACTGAGTTTACAGTGGTGAGCACCTGTGGAAATCAAGCTTTATTCCCCCATACCTGACCTGTATGGTAGAAATAATATTTACACACTGCACTGGTTTAAAAATTGTAATGTTGTGGTTTGCCCCAGTAATACACAACTGGCATACCCATGTAACATTGGAATCTGCACAGAAGTACAGGATGGTATAATAGTTACTATTAATATGAGTTGTGCTTGTCTCATAAGCTCCTGAGCTACCTCAAAACAATCACAGACCAGTAGAGACTACTTTAAAGAAAAAAAATAGTTCCAGAATTAAAATAATTCTATTTGTATATTGCATTTTTTAATGTTAACTTTAACATTTAACCTTTAACTTTTTAAATGTTTCTTTCTACCTTCCAAAAAAAGCTGCTTGTTTTTTCTTTTTTTAATACAATTTCATCAAGTATTTTTTTTTTAATTTCCTATATCTGAACTGTAACGGAAAAGACTGTGGAACTTCTCAGCATTGTAATCCCCTTAAAAAGACTCTGACTTCATGTAATTACAGAATCCCTTAATCCGTTGAATCAGTCTGTGATGGGATGGTGCAGTCCCTTGGCTCCTTCCTCATCTGATGCAGGCAGGGTTACTAGGTTATTTTCTCCTTCCTCTCCTGTGGACTTTGCTGCACTATATAGGACAGAGGATATTAGCAGTCTTTTTCTCCCTTGTTAGAAGAGCTTTTCAAGTAGAGAAGGATTTTTCCTGTCTCTTCCCTTGTCACTGTTGTCATATTTCTTATTCTTCAATGGAATAGCAACAGTAATGGGCATGATAGAATTTGCGGGTTTTTTTTAAATAAAACAGATTTGTATGAATCAAGTCCTTTGTGATATGCATATGTTAATACCAAACCATTTTACAAATATGTTGTACAAAGACAGCCAATGCTGTATATAAACACCTTTGTATCAACAACTTTTCTGTCTTATGGAAGAGACACTGCTTTTCCAGTGAAGGAGGAGTTCAGCAAGGCGAGGTGTGGTTATTCTGTTTTCTCATCCTCTGGGGCTTAACCAGTATTTTGAGGATGATCTGTTTGAAGATGCCAAGAAACTTACTGTCACAATTGGGGTGTGATCTTAAGACTATACCTGTTTCATCCAGAAAACAAGATGAAAATATGAAGGTTATGAAGGGTCTTTTCACCCTGGAAAGTGGTCTCTCTAAATTAATGATTAGAGTATACATTTCAGATAATTTTGAGCAAATCAGCTTGGGTAGTACCTATAAGCTCAGTAGCTAGATGGTTACAGATTCTGCTGCTGCTGGGAATATCAATTTCACGGCCTTTGGAGGCTAGTATAACAACTCATTGTTATAAGAGCTGCTACATTAGTTTGCTTTACTGAAATCTTAATTTAGAACTTTTTTTCCAAAAGTTTGTTTAGATATCAATGTATCTCACTGGCATAGAACGGAATTTCAAGAAATACAGGGTAGCAGTAAGAAATATTTACATTTACTGTAATGATCTGCACATCTTTGAGAGCAATTTCTGCAAAATAGAATGGATTTTTATTAATGAAACTCTGAACTTTCTTTTGGTATGTTTTAACTTTGTAAAAATATTTTAATCACTTAATACTTCTGCTATAAATTTGAAATAGTCTTAGTCCCATATAATGCATGTACATATATGGGACATATTATACTTATGTAAGTTAAAGATATTTCTTACAAAGAATATTCGTATCTAACATCAATGAATTGTTGGAATGAGTCAGAAAAGGTTAAATTAACTGAAACTTAGTTTTATAAAAATAAATTAAAAACCATTTTAAGTAACGTCCTTAAAAATGTCAAGTAGATCAGTAGTATATTAAGCAAAGCTGGTCTTCAGATTAGATAAATGCCACCTTGCTTTGTACCACAGCTGTTAATTATCATGCGGGTACAGAGTTATACTTACCCACAATTCTAGTCGAGAGTCACCATTTTCTTGTAATGCATTTCAGTGCCGCAGCTCTAGGGAAACATTTTTGAGATGGGATGCCACCTCAAAGGCCAGAGAACAGTCTTGTATAACCACACATTGGCAGGAGGAATGCTCTAGAGGATTTACTTAATAGCTTTCATATCACACTGTAGTCAACACAGAATTGTGTTCAATTTGTTTTTAAGAAAATAAACAAAGTGCTCTTTATAGTGATACTGCCTATCTGAGGAAAATTACAGGCATTTTAAGTAGGATTTTTCTGTTTGTTCTTGGCTTTGCTAGTACTGCTTTGCCCTGAAGTTATTCTAAGCAAAAATCCATCTGTCTCTTTCTGTGCATATATACTGTGTATCTACCATGTTCATGGTTATTTTATTAGAGACTTTGCTGCCGTATGCAAAAGGTATTAGATTTTCCTGTTTTCCTTCATTTTTGGCCACACTTAATGACTTGTGGCAGCTGCCAGTCTTACTTGCAGTATTGACTGCTAAGTTAAGAGATGGCTATCTTTCTCAGTGTTTCTGTATCAGCAAGCAAGCGTGATTGAGTGTTAATCAGTACTAATCCCATTAGCAGAGCAGAAAAATATGAAAGCCTGACTAGAAGTAAAAATAACGGATTATCAAAACCAGTTTTTCTGGGGGGGGTTCATAAGATAGTACAGTTAAGGTTTTGATGAGGCTGAAACTGCAGCAAGAGATGAAGCGCCAAGCTTTTGACAAAGAGCCTGTCTAGGGGAATTGTTGACAATTCCAACAAATTTAACAAGTCAAACAAAACACCTTGACCACAAATGCCTTCCCCTCTATTTAATGTCAGTGTAGAGAGATTTGTACTGGGGAGTAACTCTCGGTGATAGTAAGGGAGGAGGAAATGTTATAGTAGTCTAAAGAGACCTGTAGCTCTTAAGAGAAACTTGTGTTGCAGGGCAGTGTCCCATGACCAACCAGGTCAAAGTTATGCTTATGGATCCAATAGGTGGTACTTTTAGATCGTACTGATCTTACAAGACTTATGGGTAGTCTAAATTGGTGTATGAAAGGGTATGTCAAGAAGTAAGGGTGAACCTCCCAGGAATCACTGCTGTGTCCCACTTACAAACCAGTCCCAAAGTTCTTCTCTTTAGCTCTGATACTGAAACTTTTGGGCTTCTAAAGATGAGAGTATGTGGCTCATAGCTTCAGTGATGCTGAAATCTTCATGTTCCTCCCCAAAACCACCTGTTAGAGTAGAAGATTCTAAAGGGACCGATGTACCAATGCAGGGTGGAGATTGTCTTTTATATTTGGCCTGGCAGGAAAGCGAGGAGAAAGCATTGAGAAAACTTGAGTTTCTAAAAACATGCAGATTTTAGAGAAGCTTTGAGAACCTGACCGCTCTAAAAAAGGTTAGGTTTGTTTATACACCCTGCCAGTAAAGTTTTTTGAAACTTTGCAAAGCAATGCTCAACAAGCTATCTTTTAAAAAATACCGATTTCTACTGCAGCCATATGCTATTTTCTCTCCTGTGAAATGAGAGAGAAAATCTGGGATCTTGTGTCCTAAATACAGCCACTGAGGTATTCTGGCTTTTTAGGTAGTCAGTCTGGTTTTTCATGTCTAGGTTTAGGTATATGTCTTTGGCAATTTGAGAATGTTGGAGAACAAATCCATCATACTTAAAGATAAGCACTGCACAGCTAAACAAACAAAATCTAGCCATAATGTCAAGACAGATTCCAGACTTATTGATCAAAAATTAAGTTTAGTTTTCTTTTAAACCTCATGAAAGAAGATTATATGAAATCCACTGAGGTTCAAAACTGAAAATGAAATGATGAAACCGATGCCCCTCACCAATCCCCCACACTGAAGTTCAAAATATGCCAATATTAAATTTTGTATTTAACTTAATACCACGCCACAAGTATATATCAATGCTACCAGTCTTTAAAGAAAGAAGCTTCATAGACAATTAGATTCCAGGAAATCAAATAATTTTAAAATTGTTGCTGGTCAACATCATAACCATACTACTAAATATAGAGGTTAAAATACATGTATTTTAAGAGTTGTACAAATTAAAAAAAAAAATCACACCCCGCTAATGATAGTTGATTCACAACAACAATACCTCTTAAAAATCAGTCAGGTACAGAAACTTAATATAACTAATGGCCTTAAAAATCTAAGTTTCTGCCTTAGTAGCTGCTGTACCAGTCCAGTGCAATGTGAACCCCTCTGCAGCCCCTCTAGTTGCATTTAGCGACTGCTCTAGTGATTCAGGGAAAGCAGCTGTTTTTCACCCGGGTCTTGTCTCAGTCTCTAATCTATGGTGTTGCATGTCCTGGGCAGGCAAGCGTGGGCGACGCAGCAGTGCAGGATCGCTAGACAGCAATATGGAAGTAAGTAGGAAGTTACTGATGTCTAGCTGGATGTGATGATGTGCATTTCAAACCTTTCTTTTATATACATATTTTTTTGCTCTTTTTTCTTCTAACATATAACCTGCCTGCCTCAAATAAAATGCATGCCTAGGCTACTCACTCCGTATTCTTCCAGCTTAAAAAGCACTGACAGCTTGTTTTAGACCGATGCCATTTTTGGTTTGAGCTAACCTCGTTCCCTTTGTTCCTGCAAGCATGGTTAAATGAATATGATGTGTCCTTTTGCCACCATTTCAGTCTGGTCCCAGCTTAAAAGCCCACTTGCTCTTCGTTACAAAGTACACTGTTCTTGCTGTTTGATATTTAGCTACAACTATCGACTTTCATGCTCAACCATCCCCATTGCTTATTTTCAAGTTAAATTGCTAAATGTATGCAGTCATGACACCATGGAATTGCACAGATAGGGCATGGGAGGAAAAAATTACTAAGATAGGTGAATTCAATGTGGATTTCATGAGATTTCATTCATCTTCAAACCATTTATATATACTGTTCATGTCTCTGAATTCAGCTTGCAGATTTTTTTTTCTCTCTCTTTTTTTCTTTTTTTTTTTTTTTCTTTTTGTCTTTGCTTTAGGTAGATTGCAGTTTAAATCTAGCACATTTTGCCTAAGTACTGTTGTGTCCCCTAACTCTTTTTAAAAAATACAAACCAAAAACTTCCAGAAACTAAATACACCTATTCCAGGCTAAATAATAATGTTGGACCACAGGTCAGAAGAACACAATCACATAGAAATCTTAGTGGCAAAAATGGTATGGTTCCATTTAACACATAATTCAGAGGTAGCCTTGAGAAGCAGCACTGTGGCATATAGTAGTGGAAAACTACTATAAAAAAAAAAGTTTAAAATACTGTTTTGAAATCTGAATTGTAACTGTAATATTTGCTGCTGTGTGTTTAACTATTTAGGTTGAATTTTATGTAGTTTTATTTTTTGTTGTAAAAAAGCAAGTATGGTATTTTTTACAGTATTTTAAAATGTATTTTTCCTTTAAAAACACACTCCTTGGTTTTATGTCATGTTACTCTTCCGTGACATTTTTCTTACTGAAAGTCATAGCTTTCAATATTGAAGTACTGAGAGAAAAACATTTAATACTTAAAATACCCCAAGAAGGGCATGAATGCCTCACCGGCAACTTAGAGAAGGTGGAAATAAAATTTTTCCTAGAACTCTTAACATAGTCCACCCATGTGAACACTGAAGGAGGAGTTTGTGGGTCAGTGTGAACTTTTTCTTTTAAACATTTTAAGATTTTTTTAATTTTTATTTCTATTAATTTCTTTTTAGGGGTCCATCATTAGCAGTCCTCACATGCGCCGAAGAGCTACATCAACCCGAGAGTGTCCATCTCGCCCTCACCAGACTATGCCTAACTCCTCCTCACTCCTAGGTTCCTTATTCGGTAGTAAAAGGGGAAAGCCACCTTCCCAAGGCCATGCACCATCTGGCTCATCACAGCAACCTCTGCACCCTCCAGTAATCCCACATCAGCAACACTCCCAGCATCCTTCTGCCATGCATCATGCAGGGCCAGCTGAGGGGCAGACACAGGCACAAGTGCACTCCCACCATTCGCAGTACTGTCACATGCAGCAGAACCCACCGCCCTACCACCACCACCACCACTATCACCCTCCCCAGCACATCCAGCACCCACACCAGTATCACCAACACGTGCCCCATTCCCAGCATGCGGCACACTCCCAGCATACTCCTTACATGCAGCACCCCCATGCGCAGCATACCCACTCTTCTCATCCGCCACTGCCCGCTCCGCACCCAGGGCACTCTTCTCATCCCCAGCACTCTCAGCATCACCATGGACCGCCACCACCTCCCTCCACTTCAGCCAGCACTAAGCCCAAACACAGCGGCATCAGCACAATAGTCTAGAACGTATTGACCCTCCTAGTAACTATAGTTTTAAACCAAGTTACAAAGGCACTTACAGGAAGCAACAAATAATATTGTTGTTTTTTACGTAGACAATTTAATTGAGTTGTGTGAGCTTAAAGGCTTGCTGTTACTAAATAAAATAATTCAAGTTAGTGCAATCGATACTGGTTTTACTTATCTACTCGATAGACGTTTACCATCTGGTTAGTTCTGATTTCCCAACTGCCTTGAAAATATGCTGCTTGCTGAATATGAGTAAAGCTACCTTTTACACCAAAACCCTTGACAATTTTACATGCGTAATAAAAACTTAGGCTATGAAAAAAGGAAAAAAGTGATACAGAACCAATTGTTGCATTCTTGCTCTTTTGTTGTCAATGGGCAAAAAAAATAAGTAGACCTGATATGGTTGATGAAAGTACATAAGTAAACTTTATATAATATAAATATATACATATAAATATATAT